ATACCTTTGCATGTCATTATAGAATTCAGGAAATGTTACCTTTCTCAGTGGCTGCCGATTGTACAGGCTTGATTTCACATTCTCCTACTGATGCGTGGTCATGATTCTTTGAGTGTTTATCATCATCAGGTTCATTCCCTGGATCACACTAAGAAAATAAGTTATTTTATTTTACATCAGTTGACCAAAAAACAACAACATTGAGAACAAGCACAGCTAAACTCAAGCAGGTTTATATTTAGTGAGAAGAAAGTAAACTTTTCTGTAAGCATTTCAACTCATCTATGTGTCCAAACAGGAGGTTCATGGATTCAAACTCTTATCTAAATGTAAAAGGTCTCCAGAAAACCCAGAAAAAAGGTAACATTAAAAAAAGAGACACTGATGTATGGCAATTACTACTGAGGACTGAAAAAAATCTCACCTTTACCTCTGTTTTAGCTGCACTCTCCTCCCACTGGTCTACTGCAAGATAATGTGACAACAAGCAGATTGCATGATCAAACATAAAAGAAATTGTTTTGGTCATTTGACCATTCCAGGTTAATAAGATTTATTTGCTAAGCTTGTTTGAATATTCAAAAAGTGTATCGTTTAACATGATGTATCTCCTCTACACTAAATATGCATATGTTTTATTTTAATCATAATTAAGCAGATTTTGCAAAAATGAAATAAGAAAAGAAAGAAAGTTCAGTAAGTCTTACCTTCTTTGGTCTCTGCTGAAACAGTCTGAGATGATGGACTTGTGTCCTTCACTGCATCACTCTCCTCCATAGACCGCTCAGTCATGTTACTGCTGCTTTCATTGTTGACCTCTTTAACTTCATCAGTCTCTCCTGTTGAAGTGTCAAAGCCAAAAAATATTACAAATTAATAAGTTCCCTACTTTATTTATACCAATAAAATTGAAATATCATTTTACAGTTGAAATCTATGTTGCCATACAATGAAAGTTTTCATTAAAATGCACCTTTCTCGTTGTTTGTAGATGGTATTACAGAAGTGATTTCAGAGTCTCTTCCCACTCTTGTGCTGTCATCGTCATTGTCTGAGTGTTTAGCACCACTCACTGGATCACACTAAGAAAACAGGTGATTTTAGAAAACCTTTAGCTTATCTGGTCATAACCATTGAGATGAAGAATGTGAAGGTCAATAACGCATAGTGGTATACCAATACAGAGTACAACCCCAGAGCAACCCAATGCAAGAGCTTTGTATTTTTGTGTGTATTTTTGTGTGTTTTCAACTTATCCATTTTCAAACCAGGAGCTTGATTGGATCAAACTCAGTCTACACTAAAAAGGCAAAAAGCTCTGATCTTCAGCTAAAGGTTCAGGTGTTAGTGCTGAAAAGTTGACATAATTTCAGAAACTACAGGTAGCATTTAATAAAGATGTGCTTGTATTTCTCAATAACCACTGAAGTTCAAAGATCTCACCTTTATCTCTGTGTTAGCTGCAGTCTCTTCCTCGTCTGTAGCAGCATAATGTCACAACAAGCAGATTGCACATTCAACAAAAAAGAAAGAGCTTTGGTGAGTTTACCATTCCAGGTAACCGTTCCAGACAAAAGTTCATTACTATGTCACTCTTCTCCGTGGACTGCTCACTCATGTTACTGCTGCTTTCATTGTTGACTTCTCTAACTTCATCAGATTGAAATACTCAAGTAGAGTACACGTACCTCAAAATTTGACTCAAGAACAGAAATTGAGCAAATAAACTTTCCACCACTTACTGGCTGATTGTAAGTTTTTGAGGATACACTTTTGACTAAGTTAAAGGCTACAGCTACATCTTTGACTTATCAGTTATTTAGACCTGCAATAATTGATTTATTTGGCCACTTGGGGGCAGTGGAAACAAGTTGTGAACACAATACTGACTTATATAGCTATATTTTGGTCTCTGCCAGCTCCAGGGGCAAATATTTGGCTCTACAACTACTAAATGCTCCATGAAGTGTACCAGCTAGTCACTAAATATGTCTGTCTGCTGTTTGGTGATGAATAGGTGGTATACAGTGGGTTATTAGAACTCTTTTGCTGAACAAGCAGGGAAACCAGAACAAAACAGTAAGTTAACAGACCAGACAGCTAAACTATGACCTGAAACTCACCATAAAGCTCTGTAAATAATTCCTCTAATCTTTATTATTCTTTGTAGGTTCACCACTATGAGAAACCCCTGTTTACACTGCATAATTGTTTTTATGTTGACGTTACATTGTTATTGCAAAATATTGATTCTAAGTGCTTCAACTTTTGTCCACTTTATGAAGCACTGAATGCCAACATTAAAATCTCACCTATTTGATTTTGCTGAAACACGGAGGTTTTGATCCTTCCTTTTGTTTGGGATTTGTGGTCCAGGGGTTCGTTCTGGTCTTTATCTTCATCACACAGACCACTGTAGCAGTGGTACTCATTTTCAGAGACCATGATGTCTATTTTTTCCAGCAGAGCTATTATCTCTTTTACATCTGTCATACTTCTTGTACATGTGTGGTATCTTTTTTCGACAAAACTGCTGTTGGCTTTCAGATCTTTCAATGCACGTTCACATTTTTCATCTGACTCGTGAGTCACAACTATGATTAAATAAGCAAGTGATCGTTTCCCGAAAGCCTTTTCTAACCATAGCACTCCTGAACTGTAATGGCTTGTATGCAGACCATTTGGTAATATTAAGAGAAATTCTTGAATTTCCTGATTTAATGGGAATTTGTCAATGTTTTGTTGGCCAAGCATGTTAATGACAGAAATGTGCCGACCACACAGATCATACAGTTTGGTTGAAAACTCTTCCACATTTGTTTGCTCGTCATGGTCAAGTAAGATGTTTTCTGATCCAATCTCAATGGAATTTGTATCACCAATTAACACCAGTGTGAGTTCAGGTATCACTGAAACAAAGATAAATAGAGAATAACATCATTATACAACAATGCAGTTATCACTGAACCAGCATTGTCAAAGTTTTACAGTGTTGGCAGAGATGTGATGAGGAATCAAGGTTATAAACTAATTTTTACATTCACATGATTAGTTTGATTTTAACAATTTTTCATCGTGTTCTGAATTCACCTGAAATAAAATCTACAAAATAATAAATCAACAGCACAATCAATGCCTGTTTAAAATATTACCTTTCTCATCGGTTGCAAATTGAACAGACTCGATTTCAGACTGTCTTCCTGTGCTTTCATCATTCTTCTCTGAGTGTTGAGCTTCACCAGGTTCATTCACTGGATCACACTGAGAAAATATGTGATTTTATTCAACAATTACTGAGTTGATGTTTTCTTTTTAATGTTTTGTTTTTAATGTTAAACCCTAAGCCTATTTTATAGGCTTCTGCTTGAAAATTGCATACCCATAATGAAATGAGTATATCTCTGCAACCACAAGGTCTTTTGGTGTCATAGTAAAGGGAACACTTGTGAGATTTGTTAAGATGTGTAAATATCAGTATATGTGGATGAGTATCCCTTTGGAATGATGCAGCTGCAGCTCTAAACCTCTGTCACATCATAGTACAATATGTGAACATTAACTCTGCAAAGGTTGATTCTGATAAAGAAGCATGAAGCAGAAGAATATTAGAGAGATTTTAGTACAGAAAATTCAGGCGAGCTCTCCAAAATTGCACCATGTTTGCCACTGATTTTTGTCATGTACCAGACTATATGTTTCATTTTTTGTATTTGTATATCACTAATGGTGTTCAGTATATACACATACAACTGTCCGTTTCATTTTTTTAATATATTTCCCACTCCAAACTGCCCAAGCACAGCAACTAAGGTCCCGTTTATACGACAACGATTTAAACTGAAAACAGTAAACTTTAGTTGCGTTTTGGCCGATCCTTTACACGACAGCTGCGTTTTGGGTGCCTGAAAATGCAACGTTTTGAAAACGGGTTCCAGAGTGCACTTTTTTGGAAACGGCACCGTCTCCGTTATCATGTTAACTTGCAAAAGGCAGTTCCTCTGAAAAAGGAGACTTTCGCACATGCGCATTACGGTTCCAGTCACTAGGCATGCGGACTCCTGAGCTCTGTTTGTGCTGCTCACCCTATTGAATTTATCAACGCTTCCCCATCAGAGTGTAGATTTACTGTAGCATCTCCACCTTGTCGTCCGTCCAGACAAACGCTTGTGCGGGTGCCATTTTGTTTGTTTATACATCGCCGCTCTGTAGAAGGAAGTGTAAGCGTCACACCGCCATCTCCTGGCCTGGCATGTATACTGCAGCGTTTTTGGTCATTTTTGCAGATCCGTGTGCATGGCAATTGTTATCAAAACGTTGTTGTCTAAAAACGGAACTTTTTTCAAAATGAGAAGGAGAAATGATTCTATTTTCAGTGGATTGTTTTTGTGTAAACATGGCCTAAATGTGGAGCAGATATACTCTTCCGTGCTTTGGAGGCTCTATCTCCTATCTCCGTCGATTTGAGTGATACGTTAGAGCTAATAGAATGACGCTATACCCACCAACACGAGACTGACAGCAAAGTCAGCCAATCAGAATCAGCAGAACGCTGTTGTGGGGGAGGTGCAGGCTGCTGTATGCGGTCATTGTCATGCTTCCCCCCGGGTCCTAAAGCCCATCATGTACGCCCGAATTCATTTGAATGCAGCGCAACATGTCGGTCTACCAGGATGTACCATGATTTACCGGTAAAACAGATGTTTACCGGCAAAACAACAAAGGTAAGAAAAAATTTTAACGATTGTTCAGCAAAACGATTTCTGTTGTTGTTGTTCTTTGGCCTCTATCTCTCTGATGCTTTGGTGTAGCGTGCTTTGGCGGATATATGTGGAAACAGCGGAGTCTCTGCTTTCATTTGAGATGAATGACGTGTGTTGTGGCATCGAGTTAGAACCCAAAATATGGCAAGTGGGTCGACACATCTGTGCTGTATGGAGTTTGATTTGTAATAATTCATTTAGTTGTCATTTGAGCGGTTTGGGGCATGTAAAAAGGGTTTTTACACCCTTGTAGCCCTGGTTCTGCTGTTTAATTTGATGTGCAACATCACTATATTCTTCGTGATTAGTGCATTGTTTCACACTGTGTTTGCAAAGGGATTTTCGGGTTTAACTGGGAACCCAAAATCAAGAAAACAGACTCAAGAAAAATATAGAAGTCTACGATGAACAACATACAGTGTTGCAATAGTACTATAACATATGAATTAAGAGTCAAGTAAAACAATATACAGAGAAAAGGAAAAAAAACACTCTAAAAGGGTTCTCAGCTTAGTCATTTAATTTCAAACCAGAAGGTTCATGAGTGTTGATATGTGTTGTACCATAGATTTCCAACTGTATAAAAAAAACATATCTTAAAACTTCATGGAAGGATTCTCTATGGAAAAACAAAAAAAAAAAAGGGTGATGTTAAAGAAATATATGCAGCTGTAAATGTACCTCGGCTTTGGCTGCACCCTCTTCTGTCTCATCTACTGCAGGGGCATGGAGGAAAAAGCAGAATACATGGAAAAAACTGTTTGGTTATGAAATATTATTATAATATTATGACATGAGTTGTTTGATACATTTTAAAAGGACAGGTTACCACCAGATCATTTTTTTCATTGTAATCAGTTACAGTTGCTGAGAAAAAAATGCTTAATTGAATTACGGTCACCATCAAAATGTTGGTGATTACAAAGGGGTTATTAGTAAAAATCTTATATGTAGTTCTGGACAACAAGGGTCAGCACAGACATTGGTTCAAGTTTGAGTGCAACACTTCTACTTGGCTTTTGGGCCTGGTTTAAAACATTTGTTAGAAAAGTAATCAAAAAGTTATCAAATGTAGTAAGTTACATTACTTTGATGAAGTAATTAAAATAGTTACATTTTAAATATTAACTCGTAATCAGTTACCTATTACAATTCAAAAGTATCCATCCCATCACTGCCTGTATTGCTGTTTATCAAGCTAGATTGTTTTGATTCGAGTTGCCAAGTGTTGGAGATATCAGCCGTAGAGATGTCTGCCTTCTCTCCAGTATAATGGAACAAGATGGCACTTGGCTTGTGGTGTTCAAAGCACCAAAAAAAAAAACTACATTTGTATAACTCAACAGCACTGTCTCTTTGTAGGAATCATGACCTGGTTACTCAAGATAATCCACAGACCTTGTTGTGAGAAGTTTCATGTAGGAACTATTTTCTTGACTTACTACTTCTTGGATGAGAGGCTTGTGCACTTGACAGTGTGAGATGTCAACATTGATGCCGTCCTCAGCTGAGCTGTAACATTAGCTAGCTCAGTAGAGCTAGGTGAGCTAGCAGTAGATGCATGCTTCCCTCTGCACAGTGACATAATTGACTTGTAGTTCGGTAGAAAGAAAATAGTTTCTACATGAAACTGCTCACAAAAAGGTCTGTGGATTATCTTGAGTAACCAGGTCCTGATTTCTGGAAAGAAACATTGCTGTAGTTTTTGGTGCTTTGAGCACCACATGCCCAGAGCCATCTTGTTCCATGATGTTGGAGAGAAGGCAGACATCTCTACAGCTGATATCTCCAACACTCATCAACTCACACCAAAACAATCTCGATTTATAAATAACACTACAGTTGAGAGCAAAAATATGTATTTATATTGGGGCGTCGGTAGCATAGTGGATAGTGCCGGTGCCCCATGTACAGAAGCACCACCTCGCTGCAGCGGCCACAGGCTGGAATCCGGCCTGCAGCCATTGCTGCGTGTCATTCACCACTCTCTCTCTCTCTCTCTCTCTCTCCCCATTTCACACACTGTCCTGTCCATTGAAGGCAAAAGCCCCAAAAAATAGTCTTTAAAAAAAGACCTGTCCCTTTAATAAATTCTCAGTGTTTGAACCTCAACTGACATAAATATAATGTTACAATATAATCAGTTCTTGTGTAAAATATGACCTTTCCCATTGGCTGCAGATGGTACAGATTTGGTTTCAGGCTCTCCTCCTCCTCCTCCTCCTCCTCCTCCTCCTCCTCCAGCTGCTGTGTTATCATCATTGTCTTCCTCCATCTCATCTGCTCTTCATCTTTAAAGACTCATACTGTATGACAAAGCTATTCAGACAATTGCAACAATGAATGATAACTGCAAAAACACATTACCACTCAAGCTGATTAAGCAAATTATTTGATAACTGTAGAAAAAAGTTGATGAAGAGTATTGAATAATGAAGGAGATCATAGTCAGAATGACTTAGCAGTCAACCACGCTGAAGCACTGTAGGGACATTACTAAAAGGGAAAGTGAAAGTAAGACAGCGCAATTTCTCAGAAACCATGTGACTTAGAGGAAAAGAAAACGAGGATTACAGGTCACACTACTCAAACAAAGTTGTTTGAAAAGGTCAGTGTCTGTTATAAAAATTGTGCAGGTTCATTTAAAGTCTATGAAAAATTGGGGCGTCGGTGGATTAGTGGATAGAGCAGGCGCCCCATGTACAAGGCTGTTGCCGCAGCGGCCTGGGTTCGACTCCAGCATGTGGCCCTTTGCTGCATGTCTCTCTCTCTGTCTCTCTCTCTCTCTCTCTCCCCCTTTCATGCTTGTCTGTCCTATCAATTAAAGGCTAAAATACCCCAAAAAAATATCTTTAAAAAAAAAAGTCTATGAAAAATACAGTATATACTCTAAACTCACCGTTTGTTCAGTGCCTCATTAGCTCCGGCTGGTCTGTGTTAATATGGCTGCTTTGACAGAAATTCTTCTAGTCCCCTCTCTATTAAGATCGAGATCAGACGCCTGTGTAATTCTCGGTCCACCCCTTACAAACCCCTCCCTCCTGCTCCTCGCAAATCTGATGTGGTGCAGTATTAACAAAAGTGAAAGTAAGACAGCTCAATTTTCTTAGAAACCATGTGACTTGAAAATGAGGATTACAGGTCACACTACTCAAACAAAGTTGTTTGAAAAGGTCAGTGTCTGTTATAAAAACTGTGCAGGTTCATTTAAAGTAAGAGAGCTCTACTTCCCAAAAAACTTGTAGTTTAGTTAACAACAATGAGGCTAAAAGGGCCACACTACTCTAACACTGCCATGCACATACTGCTGTCAACACTGCAGTGTAGCTCTGGTAGCTCCAGCTGCTACAATAGTTCATGTTTAGAAAGACATGAAGCATCAAACCAGGAGATCCACTGATACTTAACACATGTAAGAGCATTGATTCAGTCTCACGCTTTCAGTTTTAACTAAAACTGCTTCTGACTTTCCTTGGTCAGTCTACCATCATGGACTGAAATTGAGGACCACAATGGAAATAAGCCTTTGGCTTTCTTGTGTAGTTAATCCTCGACAACTTCTAAAAATCGTATATGGAGTCTGTCTTATTGATCAGTCTGTCATGTATATTTTACATTTTTGTCAAATAAATATCTATCTATGATCATTTTAAAGTAAAACCAAAAGCTTAAGACTGGATCACTTCCTTTGTCCTTTTTTGGAGTAACCTTACTGTGAAATCACCAGGTGCCAGATTCACTGCAGTAGAAGCACTTGTGAGGCTGATGATTCAGTCCTTTTAAGCCTTTCCTCACATATTTCTTTTATGTTGTTGATGGTACTGGCTAAAGAAAGAGTTTTACCTGGGTAAACAGTAAATGGGCCGTTTACTGTTTCAGGTCATTTTGGAGACACATTGTAACATAAAGTTATGCAACGTGAGGTTTTTAAAATAAATTAAAACCACACCTACCACTACTATGAAGAGAAACAAAGCTTATAGGGCTGCTTCATATTATAGATCGTACCCACCCCAAACTCACACACACACACAAAGACACACACAAACAGAGGGGCGGAGAGAGTTTAGAGACCCACTGTTGTTTTTGACAGTTTGTTAAGACAATCATACATTATGGGTTTTGATGAGCTTCACAGGCTTTTGTGCCTGATGCCAGATGGTTACTCCAGCCCTGGATGTAGTGGATGACTGGGTCAAGCACAGGACTTTCACTCAGGAGACTGGGGTTTGAATCCTGTGTGAGTCCTGTGGGGGGGGGGGGGCTGGAGCCTATCCCAGCTGACATCAGGTGAGAGGCAGAGTATACCCTGGACAGGTCACCTGCCTATGGACAATTTAGAGTCACCAATTAACCTGCATGTCTTTGAATTGTGGGAGGAAGCTGGAGCACCCAGAGAAAACCCACGCTGACACAGGGAGAACATGCAAACTCTGCAGGAACCCTCTTGCTGTGAGGCGACAGTGCTAACCACCACACCACCGTGCCGCCCTCCTGTGTGAGTCAACAGTGGGATATTTTTTAGACATAGCTGTCATATTGCCTTCAGTTTTTAGGATGTATAAAGCTGCTGTATGCACACTTGGTACATAAACTTTAGCAAAATAGCTGAATAGACCCGTTCTTATTAATGTCATATTTTAACGATGCCAGGACGCCCAGTTTTTTGTTTAACCTCGTTAAAGCCTTTTTAATGCCTTTATTTTTTGAAAACAAAACATAACTTTTCTTTAAACACTTATTTCTGTTTGTCTAGACCCTTTACTCCCAGTTTCATTTTATTGTTACACCCCTCATCCCTCAGTGTAATCAGGGAATGTAACAACAAAAGNCTAGACCCTTTACTCCCAGTTTCATTTTATTGTTACACCCCTCATCCCTCAGTGTAATCAGGGAATGTAACAACAAAAGCTATTTGATCCTTCCCTCAGTCCACACCAACTTATTTTTCTATTTTATTATACTGTGTAGCAGGAAGGAAAAAGGAAGTGATGTCACAGCCTTGTCCACCTGAGCAGGAGAGGAAGGAGGAGGGGAAGGTGATAAATTAAGAGACACCTGTGAGCTGAACAGAGAGACGGAAAATCTAACAAAGGAGACTTGAAGGAGGATGGAAAGGAGAAGTGAGAAAGGGAAAAAAAGAGGAAATAAGTGAAAGGATGAGCCCAGCACTGGATTAAATGAAAAGACAACAGTGAATTAAACCTAGTGACAAAGTGTTACAAGGACTGGCTGGAAATGAACGGTGAGGAAACAACGACCTCAAAAGAAAAGCTTATCTCTGGAGCAGGTGGAAACAGACTGGGTCTGCTGTGCTTTACCTGCTTGGATTCAGTGGCTGAGCTGCCAGCAGACTCACTACCAGCAGATAAGTTCGTTCTTTCCCCACAATCTCCTGGCTTCTCCAAACTCGAGCTTCAAGCTAACCTGGGTTCTTCCCTCCCCCCTCACTCACACTCCCCACACACACTCTTCCACCTGAACTGATTTGAACTGAATTACATTCATATATCCATCTGAACTGAACTGGCCTGAATTTTATTCATACATTTTGGCAGATTGCTGTGATGTATTATTTGTGAAAAATGACAATACAACACACACTACATTTGGATATAGTGGATACATTTAGAGTGCTAGATATATATCTATACTAAAGCATGGACAGTATTAAAGCTGTACACATTTGACAGTCAGGTATTATTATCATAGTTGCTCCATATATTAGAGAGAAGCTAGCTGTCTAGTATTTAACTTGTGCTGTATGCAAAATGTTACAATTGTGTTCTTTTAAGTTATGATAGGTAGTGTACAATCTACTATAAACACATGAATATACCAGTTTGTAACTGGGCCTAAGGGCTAAAAAAAGGACAGCAATGTCTGTTGTTGTTGTTGTTGTTGTTGTTGTTGTTGTTGTTTACTGTCTTCATACTAATTCGTAATCATGTCTGTACAAAGATAAATATGTAAATCAGAACAACATCAGTCCAGACACCCTCTCTGCAAAGCTGCATTCTTAATCATACAGCCTGTCATTTTATGGCTAATTTTCCTTTAGCCTTAAATGAATCTGATGAAATCATATTTAAAGGCAGTTTTTTAAGTTTGATTAAAATGTTCACTCTTGGTCTTCACTTAAACTAGACTAAAATGTTGTATGTAAGACAATCAACTATCCAGTCTTTCAGTGACTAAAATGTCATGTGTTTTTACCGGCTTACATTAAACTAAAATGTTTAAGGTTTTCTTTGATGAAGGCGAGACTAAATGTCCAGCGCTAAGACTAAAACTAAAAATTGCTGACAAAATTTGCCACAATTTGTGATATTGGGTCATAAAAATTAAACATACTTGAATTAGTATGTGACAGGACTTAGCCATATTTTTGAGAGTGTGCCAAAAGAAAATCAGGTCTTCTTCAAATGCTTATCAATAACAAAGGAGACGGACACTCCAATGACTGTATGAAGGGTTTATTTATTGCACTAAAATTAAACATTCATTTTTTTTCACAAGACTGACATCTCTTTTTCAAAAGTGTAAAATTGTTGAATACTCCAAATTCTTGAGAAAGACAAATCATCATTCACCATTTTCACAAAAAACCGTTAGACTTTGAGAAAACATCCTAAAATAAAAACTGTTTACCTGTATTTTGATCTTGATTTTAAAATCCTGTTACTTGTATACAAGCTCTAAATGGTCCTGCGCTTCAGTACATGAGGTCATCCAACCATTGCTCGTACTAATTCTAAAGCAGGAGAGGCTGTCTTTTGCATATATGTCTCAGCAGATGAAACACCCAGCCTGTGGACCTGTGAGAGGCACACACTGAATACTTTTAAAAGCAAGTCAAAAACATTTCTCTTCATAACAGTCTATGGCTGACTTCTTCTGTGTGTGTGTGTGTGTGTGTGTGTGTGTGTCTTGTATGTTTGGGTATTTGTAATTTTGGCACTGATTCTTTCTCTACTTGTCATTTGCACTTGTTTTATTATTATATGTCATTTCTAAGTGGTAGCACATTGTGTTGCATTTTATTGTGTATAAAATGCACCATATAAATAAAGATGACTTTACTTGAATAAAAACAAAACATATTTTTAATTAAACAACTTGGTTTGTCATCTTGTAGTTGTATGAACATGTCAGTTTGCAGTTACACTTTATACCCACGTCTGTCCAAAGTCATTTGTAGCCCTGACAGTTGACAATGCTTCTAATGTTGCTGCAAAGAAGGTGCATATTCTAAAACATGGATGCTTCACACACATCTTAAACTCAGCAGCACAGAAGATCTATATAATCAGCACAGTTTCAAGATGGGCACCCAAGATTAGTGTCACCAGTTCAGTATCTGACCAGATACTGATCAAACCTTTTGTTTCTGACTTATGATGTTGAATAATGGCCAGAAAAGTGTTTCAGCAGAACATTATGATGTCACAGTGAAGCTGACCTTTGACCTTTTTGATATAAAATTTCATCACTTCATCATCTTGTTCTATTAGAGATTTGTGTAGATTTGGTCATAGTTATCATATGAATTCTTAAGTGACTGTCAAAAACTTGTTTTGTGAGTGAGGTCACATGGATCTTGAACTTTGACCACAAAATTTTAATCAGCTCATCCTTGCATCCAAGTTGATGTTTGTGCCAGATTTGAAGTTGTTGATGTTGTTGTTTTTTAACCCTTGAACTTTCACCTAAACTGTTCGGTAGAGCACATTTTGAGTCACTATAGCTGAATAAAAAATGTTCACCCAACCTCATTAACCTATCTTTACCATTTGGTTAAAGTATGTCATGCAAAACAAGTCCACTAGATGTCACTGTGTCTTTAAATATTCTGCCTTTTTAGTTCACCTGCTACAGGAAGTCAGGAAAGATTCATTCCAGACATTGGGGCTCTGTGTGGTAGGATTGTCAAAGGTGGACATGTGTTTTTTTGACGTTCTAGTTTCAGAGGTCTGACTGAACAGACTTATGTAACTTTATACAAGAAATAAAGGTCTAATAGGGTCAAATATTTTTTTTTAAATATGCGCTACCAAACAGTTCATTTGTCCTTTTAGAGTAAAGGGAGTGATGCCAAGCTAATGTAATTGAAATTAAGTAATTACTACAAAATAAAAGTACTTCATTGTTGTTAAACAATTTATGCAGAATAACTGTGTAAGTCTGATTTTTTTTTTTTTTCTAAAGCCATGCTAAACCAAACAGTTGAATTGTCCATTCATGGTAAAGGTCGGGATGCTAAGATAATACATTTACAATTTTTATCCCCCCCCACAAAAAAAGGTTAAATTTTCACTGTTTAGACAACATATATTTAATGTTATTCGACTGTATAGAAATTATATCAGTATGATTTTTCACCATTTATGAGATGTTTTGAAAATACTACAATGTTAAATATCTGGAATAAATACATGGAAATAATACTAGTACTAGTGAGAAATTGATATATGCTGGTATACTAACCTGGCTGCACGGTGTTTGTTTTTGCCAAATTTAAAGTAATTCCCTACCATCAAAGTGTACGTTTGTGCCATATTTGAGGAAATTCCCCTAAGGCCTTCTTAAGATACCGCATACACGAGAATGATTCAGACGCAAGGTAATTTTGACCTGAACCTTTGATCACCAAAATCTAGTCAGTTCATTGTTACGTCCAAGTGGACATTTGAAGCAAATTTGAAGAAATTCCCTCAAGGTGTTCTTGAGATATCTCATTCACAATAATGGGACAAAGGGATGGACAGACGGACAACCCGAAAACATAATCCCTCCAGCTACAGCTTTTACCCACGCGGAGGCATAAAAACCTATGACTGATTCTGATCTGTCGTATACTTTTTTACAATCATCCTTTAATGGCTAACAAACATGCCATTTATAATTACACATTTGTTGTGTTCGCCTTTGCTTCATGGCATTTTCAGGAATCCTGACTAAATAATGTTATCCTGCAAAACAAACTGAGATACATATTGATCACATTATAAATAGGTGCTGTTTCTTTCAGTCATCTTGGGGAAGGCCTCATCCTGAATATTGCTACTGTCGCGCTCCTTCAATCAAATCAAAAACTCCTATTTCTTTTCAACAGTTAAAGACAGTTTCTGTTATACTGAGTAGAGTTTGGTTGTTTCTGGCTCAGTCACAGACTGTACATTTCATCCAGACTTTCAATAGCTTCTTCTTCACTATGGCCTCTCCACTCAGGAGGAATTTCTCCCCTGCCCTGGAATTTTAATTTATAGTGGTCTTCCAGTTGCTGTTGAAATCGACATACAAACCATTTCCAGTATGTCAGCTTTGACTCATCAGGAGTAATTTGCCATGTGGCATACTTCTCCCCAGCACGTTGATACTGTTTGTAAGGAATACTCTGATCTGAATAAGGATGGGGGTAGAAACGTTGATCACTTGCAACTAATGTTGTGCAGAAGTTGATGTCCAGTTCCACTGTGTTTTTAAAATGCCATCCTTTAATCCCAGAGGGCCGATGAGAAGGCACACTGTGTTTGTCAGGACTGTGATTTTCTAGCGTGTTGGTACAAACAGCTGCACAGAATGGACACTTTGCCCAGCAGCAGTTACACAGCTGATCTATGAGGATTTGATCAGGCTTCATCCTGAATTCCTCCATCTTATCCAGTGAGAGGCTGCCCACTTCCTTCATAACTGATACAAGGCCTTTCTCTATCTCTTCTGTAAGAAAGTCAAAATTGTTAATGTCACTGAAGTTTTGACAACAAATGTCAAATGTCAGCTCATCTTTTAGCAAACTGGAAAATTCCTTTACCCACATGTCTGAGTCTCCTCTCTGGGTTTTCACTTTCTCTGTTGCAGTGAATAAAGCTTGACTCACAAGCTTATTGATGTCTTCAACATTTTTCTTGAGTATATTCCGTGCTTTATCTTTGTTGTCTGTGAAGATGTATTTCTGTACTTGCTCTCTTATGAAAGTCTCTGCTTGGTTCCTTGGGTGTTGGATGTAGGTGATAAAACCACCAAAGTCCTCTTTCTCAGCCAGTGACTTCAGCAAGTGTTTCTCCAAGTTCAACCTGTTCCCACTGAATGCTGGGAAACTGCACTTCATCTCTCCAGCAAGATCAATAGCAGTCTTGTTACAGACAGCTTCAACAGTGGAACTCTTCAGTTTCTCACAGATCAGTTCTCCAAACACAACAGCAGATGAGCTTCCTCTGCAGAAGCTGCTGAAAATGTTGTAATATTGCATTTTCTTGCTTTCTACATAAGTGACTGCATCGTTGTTTCTTTTGAATTCCTTGTGGGACTCTGAAAGCCATCTCCCTGCTTTGTCAAACACATACAGTAAAAGATCAACTGTAAACTTTTTCTTCAGGGCATATTTCCTGTTTGATTCAAATTCTGCCACCTTTTCCTTGACACTGTTGGCCACTTCGTGCAAGTAATTTGGACTGTATCCTGTGGAGGCGACAGGTTTGCTCTTGATTGCATCAAGGGACTGTTTTTCAATACTGTCAATGAAGGATCTGATTTGTTGCTGTTCTTCATACTGGAAATACCCCTTGAAGTAATATCCTGCTTTTGTAGCTGTTTCTGAAACAAATTCAAAGAATGTGTTTGCAGGACTAGAACGATTTCTTTGTCCTGTTGTGTCCTTTTTCCTCTCATTTTTATGTTGGCCTGTGTTACACAGGTCTCGGTCCTTGCTGAGAGCTACGTAATTGACATAATCACCAACCTCTGATATTTTTTTGTAGCTGCCACTGCTTTCACATTTATCTATAAGAGACCATTCAAAACCAAGCTCCTGAAGGATAGTTGCCTGATCTTCTTCATAGTTGATGTCCTCAATAGGTTTTGTACCTGCAGTTAGTTCACTAACCCAGCCACTCCAAACGGAATTGAACTGTTTTTTAAGTTCCTCTTCATCTTTTGCCTTGTCCTTTAACTGATGAGCTAGCTCTTTGCTCTTTTGTAGCAGTTTGTTCTCAAACTCTGTCTTCTTATCATCAAGCTTTTTACAAGCATTTTTCTGCTCAATGACTTCATCCAGTTTTTTTTTGACTCCTCTCACTTGGTCGTCATGAAACTCCTTGATTTTGCTTTCAAATCGTCTTCGCCACTGAACCAATATCTCTTTGTCTCTGTCATCATCAAAGTATGTTGTCATTGCTTTTTTGATTTTTTCATAGGTTATCTTCATTTCCTCATGTAGATAACTGAGCTCAACCTTGTCATGTTTTCCGTTTTCAGTTCTGGTGTAAAGCCCGTTCTCAATAGTCAACATGTTGCTCCTCAGGGCCCAGGTCCAGTTCCCATACTGAACCTCAAGTTTTCTGTAAACTGCAATCTCAAGTGTGTTTTTGAAACTGAAAGCAAACTGTTCATTCAACAGGGCATTCCACAGGTCCTGAATTTTGCTTTTGAACTGTGAGAGAAAAATTCCAGCTGACTGTGAAGCTTTGGAGAGGATGAACTTCTTCAGCTCTTGGATGCTCTCACTATACCCTGGATTTGGAGGAGCCATAGGTGGACTTCCCTCCCATAGTTGGGCAAAGTATTTCACGTCTTTCTGCACATCGAATGCAATGACTTCACTGAAGCACTCAGCATTACAAACCTCCTCTTTGGCTGCTAGTTGGGCCATCTTGTCCAGTTTTTCTTGCAGCTGTCTTTTTCCATGCATGTTTTTCTCTGCAGCTGTAATATCTGTAACATTCTGGTGAACAAACACACAACTTGGAGAAAGTTTAACGTTTTTCATCCTCATGAAAGCCTGAACAACAATCTGCAGAACATCTTGCATCTCTGCTGGATTTTCTCCAAATATGTTGATCAGTGTCATGTTTCCCAGACCAACAACAAATGTTGCCAGTTCATTGTCGTGGTGAAGATTGTTGTTACCCTCCAACTCAAGAGCGCGCAGTCCTTCAGTGTCCACCACTAGAATGTAGTCAAAGTGAAAGTCTTTCTTGATCTCATCTGAAACTTTGACCAGCTGCATGAAGGCACCCTTGGTGCACCTGCCAGCACTCACTGCAAACTGTAACCCAAACATGACATTCAGCATTGTTGATTTTCCACTGCTTTGTACACCCAGCACTGACAAAACAAAAACTCTCTTGTCGCCCAGTTTCTTGATGACTTCATCTAAAAGACTAGAGATCCACATTAAAGGCACATGACCTGCATCACCATCCATCAGCTCCATTGGGTGTCCTGATATCATCAGCTCTGCAGCCAGCTCAGGGTATTTAGACCAGTCAGTTTTTCTCATCTTTGTTTGTTTCTGCAGAGATGCATGGGCTTCATAGATCTGTCCCATTTCTCTAAAGATGTGCTCCAAGCCAAAAGTGGCAGACTGTAGTTTTGTTGATATTTGTTCAAGCTCAGTTTGCTTGCTTTTTAACAGATCAGATTTGTCATGCTTCTTTTTCAAAGCCAAGACCTCAGACCACTTTTCATCATAGCTTTGTAAAATTAAAGACCGATCATCTGTGGAGAGGTTATCAATCAAAATCTGAGTCCACTTCAGGAAATATAGTCTATCTGTTGATGGCAACGACGAGAGGGTTTCAGTGAACAACTTCATCGGTTTACTACAGGAAGCAGTGCATTGAGCTTGTCGTATTCGCATCAGTTCCTGTTGCTTTTGCAACTTCTCCTTCTCAGTGTGTCCTTTGAGGTGATACAGTTCTTTGTTTATTCTGCACCACTTGTGCCACAGTTGGCCTTGACACGGGAGAAATGTATCTTTGATCGTTGACACATCCATCCCCTGAAGCAAGTTGACAGTTTTCATTGCAGCAGATTTTCCTTTTTGGCAGACTTTGTCATCTTCATCCACTCTGATTCCAGAGACCTCAGCCATGGTTTCAAGCTGGAAGGATGCATGTGGTCCTGACAAAATTCTTCCAATGATTCTTTTCAGTTCCTCAGAAACATCTGACTGACTTCTGTCTTGAAGACCCATTATGTATTTTCCCTTTTTTTTCTCAAAAGCACCGCATTCCCTGTCAGCAGTGAGACATATGAGGGGCTTTGGAGACTTGAGAAAGGCTGAGATAACTGCAGAACCTTCTTCACCTTTTCCCAGAGTTGGTACAAGAACCACATTCATTGAAGATTTCTCAGTCAGTATGTCACGCTGTTTTTCAATTGACAGAGCATCACCATGAAGATTACAGAAGGCAATGCAGTCAGTGAAGGCATCATTGGGTTTTCCTGCAGGGCAGTACCAGGCAATCTCTGCCACACCATCCATCAAATGGCGAGACTTGGTGCTACCTGGGCAGTTTCTATGGAAGAAGGTGCTGTGACGGTCATTGATCAAAGTGTTAATCAGCTGTGACTTAGACAGAGATAGTGAACCCAGGCGGAGAAATGACACCATGGGTGTCTCAGCTTTGCAGATGGGCATGCTCTTCATGGTGACAGTGTTTGAATTATCTTTGATTTCAGTTACCTTCCATGTTTTTCTTATTTG